TTTCATTTCTTTTATATCCAAAAAAAAAAGAGATTGACTTATTACGACCTACTCTACATTAGTTAGGAGCTCTGGTAGCTGCAAACTGCAAGGTCAGCAGTTCGAAACTACGAGCTGTTTCGTGGGAGAAAGATGAGGCGTTCTGCTCCTGTAAAGATTTATAGCCTCGGAAACCCTGTACAGGGTCGCTATGAGTTGGAACTGACTCCACGGCACACAGCCACCACCACCACTCTACATTAGTACTGTCTCATTAACATGACAAAGAAAACCCATATTCCCCCAATAGAATTCTAATCACTTTATAGAGGATAAGATTTATAGCATGTTTTGCTGGGACATAGTTCAATCCACAACATTCTCTAAACACTTTTTCTTCTTTCTTTATTTTGCAGCCGAAATGTGGGTTTATTCCTTTCTCCAGTGATGTTACACATGAGATGAAGCATAAAGTGTGTCGTTACTGCATGCATCAGCACCTCAAGGTATGTGTGGAGAGTAGGGGCCCAGAGTGCTTTCTGGGAAGGTTCTGTATGAATGAATGGGTTGCTTGATGGGACACTGGACTTGAGGAGTAAAAAAAAATGTAGGTCTCTATTAATGGTTTTTTATTTATGAGTAGTTTATATTCATCTTTTTATTAAATTGAACTACATAATTCACATCCCATAAAAATGAACAACTCAGTGGGTTTTAGTTTTTTTGTAAGGTTGTGCAAACATTGCCACTATCTGATCCCAGAAAAATTATATCACCCTAAAAAGAAACCCAATATCCAAACCCAAATCCCTCCCTTCAGTCCACGGTAATTGACCTACCTTCTGTCTCTGTTGATTTGCCTATTGTAGACATTTCATATAAATGAACTCATGTATGTGGTCTTTGGTGGCTAGCATCTTTTACTCAGCATATTTGCAAATTTCATCAATGTTATAGAATATATTAATACTTGATTTGTTTTTATGCCAAACAATAGTCCATTTTAAGGATATACCACATTTTTTTCTCCACCTTTTTTGGCTTACTGGGTCATATAGTAACTCTTTTTTAACAGTTTCAGAAATGATCAAACTGTTTTCCAAACTGGTTACACCATTTTATGTTCTCACCAGAAGTTGATGGGGGTTCCAAAGTCTCTACATTCTTTCCAACACTTAGTGAGGATTTCTGCTCCTGCAAAGATTTACAGCCTCAGAAACAGGATCGCTTGATGTGAGTCGGAACAGATTCGATCGCACTTAACAACAGTAGGTGTGAAGTGGTATCTTGTGCGTTTGATGTACATTTTTCTAATGACTCATGACACTGAGCAGCTTTTCATGTGTTTTTTTGGCCATCTATATGAGGAAGTTTCAAAAAGTTTGTGGAAAAATTGCAGTATCTTTTTCCTGACTTCTTCCTTATTTTTCTCAACTCCATTGTAAAGTGTTTTGAAACATTTTATAATCATTTTTCTGAATTCTTTCTCAGGCATTTCCAAGGCCTGCCCTCCTTCCAGAATGGAGTCCTGGTCTACTTCTAGGTCTTTTGTCTCAGGCATTTTATCTTGTTTCTGGACATGTGCTGATATGGTCATCTGCTTTTGC